CATCTTACCTGGGCTAAGGAGAAAAAGAACTGGACTGTTGCTCAGTGCTCCAAAGTCCTCTTTTCAGATAAAAGTCAATTTTGCATTTCATTTGGAAATCAAGGTCTAGAGTCTGGAGGAAGACTAGAGAGGCACAGAATTCAAGCTGCTTGAAGTCCAGTGTGAAGTTTCTGAAGTCAGTGATGATTTGGGGTGACGTGACGTCTGCTGGTGATGGCCCATTGTGTTTGACCAAGTCCAAAGTCAATGCAGCCCTCAACCAGGAGATTTTGGAGCACTTTATGCTTCCATCTGCTGACAAGAGATGCTGATTTCCTTTTCCAGCAGGACTTTAGCACCTGCCCACAGTGCCAAAACCACTTCCAAGTGGTTTGCTGACCATGATATTACTGTGCTTGATTGGCCAGCCAACATGCCTGACCTGAACCCATATGGAATCTATGGGATATTTTCAAGAGAAAGATGAGAAACAGTCAATCGAGGGGATTGGATTGCCACAGGCTGATCGCTTCTATGCCACACCTCACTGATGCTGGAGTTTGTGCTAAAGGAGCCCCGACCAAGTACTGAGTGCATAAATGAACATACTTTAAAGAACTTTAACTTTTCTTTTTTGCAAATCCTTTTTTGATTGATCTTAGGAAATATTATAATATTTTGAGATACTGGAGTTTTGACTTTCGTGAGCTGTAAGCTCTAACCATCAAAATAATAATATACATATACATATATAAAAAAAATTTTTTACTGTACATGTAATGAATCTAGAATATATGAAAGTTTCACTTTTTGAAATAAGTTACAAAAAAACCCAACCTTTTCACGATATTCAATTTTTTTTTAGATGCACCTGTATATGTATATTATATATATAAACGATTAGACCATTACATGAAATATCAGTGGGTACTTCATAAAGTAATTTGGGTAATCTCACTGAATTCACCCTAATTTAGATCAATGGAGTGATAGTGTTGATGACTATAATTTAAGTTCTGTATTATGTCTGTCCTCAGTGTGTTTCCCTACAGTCTACCAGTGACCCTCAGCCTGTGTGTGTTTACATGTTAAAACACTGTGGTATGAAATGTTCACACATTCGAATTAGTTTATTTAAGTTTAAATTGTTATAATGTTTTCTTCTATTATTTTAATCTTTTCATTGTTATTATTCTATTTCTGCACTTATATTCCAAGCTTTGGCAATATTGTAATTTTTTTTTATCTTTGAATTGAAAACATTGAGTAGTAACATCCGCACGCGGTAGGGGGCGATAAAGCTCTCTTTGAGTTTGAGCGCCGCGGTGCGTGAGAAATACGAGAAGGCGGCGCTTCGCTCCCGTTAAACCACAACAAAGATGGAGGCGCTACATGACAGCTAGGTTTGCATTTTTCATGGCGACGCGCTCAAACTCGCGCTGAAGTGAAGATGGACGCGGGGCATCTACCGGAGCCGTGCGCGGAGAAACGCGTCCGTATCGTCGGATCCGAGCTGGTGGAGAGTTACACGGTCAGTTTGATGTGGTCCGTTTGGGTCGCGCGTTCTGTGCATATTCATGTTCATGACACCAGTTTTTGAATAAATGCATGAAAATGATTTATATTGTTAGTTTTGGTGGTTAAAATATATATATTTGGTTGATTAATAGATCAGTTGTGTAACCTTTAAGATAAAATAGACGTTTTAATAAAGCATGTGTGTTGCATAAGAGCGAATGTTTGTTAATAATAAAATAAATTTGGGAATTATGTATCAATGTTTAAAGGAATCCCGTGTTTAATTGCTAATAGTTAACCATAATAATAGCGGTTAATACAGTGTCAGAGGCCACTTTAATTATTTGCATGCTTATTTGCATAATGCACAATGTGAGTTATATTGTTATGAATTGTATGACAAAGTGGAGAGGTGTTTGTTGGTTTGCAGAGATTACCCATTTATGAGCAATATTAGTGAATAAATCCATATTGATTATGAAAAAGGAATATAACAAAAATCTATTTTTCAGGTGTACATCATAGAGGTGTATGTTGGAGATCACAGTTGGACTGTGAAGCATCGATACAGCGACTTCCACGATTTGCATGAAAAAGTGAGTTACGTCACCTAAAGGAACAGATCAGACCACAGATATGAACATTTTGTTCATAGTTCAGAGCGAGTCACTGATAAAACTGATGAAATGTTGTTGACTGCAGCTCACTGTGGAGAAGAAGATCGATAAACATCTGTTGCCGCCCAAGAAGATCATCGGCAAAAATTCCAAAAGCCTCGTCGAGAAGCGACAAAAGGAGCTGGAGGTTTATCTCCAAACGCTCCTGAGCAGATTCCCTGCATCGACCCCCAAAGTCCTGTCTAAATTCTTACTCTTTCACTTATATGTAAGTTTTAATGTGCTTTGTGTTTGATAAGAAGCTGAAGATTGTAAACAAGATTCCTCTGCTTTATATCGGTCACATGATGGTTAAATGTTAACCGGAGTTTGTGTGTAATCCATCCAAAGCAATTGCATGCAACTCTTGCTCTGTTGCTTTCGTCCTGTGAAGATGAATCGTGTTGCACTGCATTTTCTTATCTCAGCCGTATAAATGGTTCTAGGAACAGCAGGGCCTGTTATCTGGCCGTAAGCGATGTTTTGGCACTGACAGTAGAGTAATTGATATTGATCTCTAAAAGACTTTTGTCTGGAATAGGCATATGACCGGACTGAGTTGTTTTGGAGAGCCGAAGTGCTTTATGTTTATGCATTTGTCCTTAATTGGCTTAGCTTTTTTTGTTGAATTTGTGCACATCAACACGCATTAGAACTCATTTACTCAAAATATGTAGAATGAAAAACAGGATGTCATGAGGAAATCAGAGTTATTTCTGGTGAGCTCTTTCAGGAAATGAGTTGAAGAAGCACCAGGAGTAGTTCAACCAAAAATAAAGATTGGCAGAAAATGTCAAGATGTAGATGAGTTTGTTTCTTCCTTGGCAAATCTAGCATTACATCAGTAGCTCACCGATGGATCCTCTGCAGTGAATGGGTGCCGTCAGATTAACAGCTGAGAAAAACATCCCAATAATACACAAGTAATCCACACCACTCCAGTGCATCAATGAACATCTTGTGAAGAGATAAGAGATTTTTAACTTAAAACCATTTCTTCTGGCCTCTATCCATAATATTGCTTTATCCAGTGAAAGCGTTTTCTCGTTTGAATCAGGAGAGAAATATGCAGAGATCAAGCACCGTTTACAAGCCAAAACAGTTCTAAACAAATATGTTGTGTGGATTAATGTGATGTTTTGATCAGCTGTTTGGACTCTAATTCTGACGGCACCCATTCACTGCAGAGGATCCATTTCTCCAAATTTGTTCTGATTTGGAAATAAACTCATACACATATCTTGGATGGCCTGAGGGTGTGTACATTTTCAGTAAATTTTCATTTTTTGGGTGAGAAGTTCCTTTAAACGGGATGTCATGGGGAAATCCGAGTCATTTCTGCATTCCCCTGGTACAATCTTTCAAGATATGAGTTGAAGAAGCACATGCAGATCATTAAACTCATTCCAATGACGTTGCTGTTTTTGCAGTTTAGACAATGAACAAGGCCACTGGTTATAATTTGTGGACGTTTAAAATGAGCAAATGTAATAGTTGAATAAGGTTTGTTGTGAGAGTTTCCATCTTTGACTTGAACTTCATTATTTTCAGGAAATCAGTGGAATTGCTGCTGCCCTGGCTGAAGAGCTCTTTCACAAGGGTCTGTTGTTATTAATTCCTAGAGTTGTTATATGCTTGAAACATTTCATGCATTGGCTGAAAAACAGTGAAATGTGCAGTATTATAAATCTACGCTATTATAATAATGCTCCAAATGAGACTTTAGCATGCTTAAAGGGAAATCAGGCATCAAATATTTTAATGTAGAAAAGGTTCATAACTGCAGTCTGATACCTTTTAAAAATTGTGTTATTCATATTGGACTCAGAGTGAGATGTTATAAAAAAAAATGATGCAAACCGATTATAAAATAACCTTAGATGCATTTTCTACAGTCCCCATGTTGAAATATTGACATGTTCATTATTTTTATCTAGCGTTCTAATTTGCATAATACATAATATGAGCAGTTTTGCACTACACTACACTATGAGGTTGGTAAGATTTTTTTAAGAAATCTAACAAAGGCTGCATCTATTTGATCAAAAATTCAGTAAAACTAGTACAAATTTAAAATATTATTAAAATTTAAAATAACTGGTTTCTATCGAAATTTATTTTAAAAATGTAATTCACTCCTGTTGTGCAAAGCTGAATTTTCAGCATCATTACTCCAGTCTTCAGTGTCACACGATCCTTCAGAAATCACTCTAATATGCTGATTTGCTGCTCAAGAAACATTTATGATTATCAATGTTGAAAATGGCTTAAAATGCATCATTACATGTATTAACAGGATTCTTTAATGAACAGAAAGTGCAAAAAAATTATGAAATATTATTATAAATGTCTTTCACTTTTAATCAGTTTAATACATCCTCATTCAGTTATTTCTGCGTATTTCTATTTCTGTAAAAAAATCAGTTTTGTATGACATTAAGATCTCTAAAGTGTAGTAGTTTTGTCTTTTCCTCTAGGTGAGCAGTTGTTGGCTGCAGGCGAGGTGTTTCTCCTCAGGCCGCTCCAGTTGTACGCCGTCACACAGCAGCTAAAACTCGCCAAGCCAACCTGTGCCAACGGAGATGCCAAAGCCGACCTGGGACACATCCTGGACTTCACCTGCCGCCTCAAGTACCTCAAGGTTTGAGTTTGTCACTTTACTAAAAGTCGTGAAATATTAGTGCCAATATCAGTATATATATATAAACTGGTTCACTGTTGGTATCTCAATTTCTAGATTCTCTATTGAAAATATAGTAGTAGAAGTTGCAGTAAAAGTGTCAGAACTCTCACGTTTTATCTGCTGTTGACATTAAATCTTCACACTCAGATCCCTGGAATGAAAGCAGCGGTGGGGACGAGTAACATAGGGGAGCAAATCCTCCCGTTTGACCTGTCCATCTTTAAATCGCTGCTTCAGATCGAGGTGAAGAGACTTGTGTTTTTGGGGGTCATTGGAGGGCAAAGTTTTTAACACTTAATGTTCATTCTCAGATCAGTGATTGTGATGCTGGACAGATCAAAGGTCTACCTTCCCTCAAGCCCACACTGGCCACGCTCAGCATCCATCTCTCAGCCAGCAGTATGAAGGTACGCTAGAAAATAACATATATTAGCAGGAAAGCGTATCAAGAAATAAAAACAGATGGTTTTTAGGGTCCGTTAAAAGGTTGCGACGTTTTAGTTTTTGCAAGTAAAAATTCTTAAAAGCAACAAACTTCTAAACCGTTTGTGACCCTGGAGCACAAAACTTAAAGGGTTAGTTCACCCAAAAATGAAAATTAGGCTGTTTTACTCACCCCAGAGCCATCCTAGGTATATATGACTTTCTTCTTTCAGACGAATCCAGTCGAAGTTATATTAAAAATTGTCTTTGATCTTTCAAGCTGTTTAATGCCACTCAGCGGGTGTTGCATGCATCAGTCCAAAAGAAGTTAAATAAAAAGCTCCGGGGTGTGAACAAAGGCCTCCTGTAGCGAATCGATGCGTTTTTGCAAGACAAATATCCATATTTAAAATAATCACTTTAATGTAGCTTGCGCTCACTATTGTAAATGGAAGCAGTTCCGGGGGAATGACGTATGGAGGTCAGCGTTGCGCATGCGCCGCTCAGAAGTGAAGAACGCGGAAGCGCAGCGGAGAGATCAAAACAAAACAACGGTCACTAATTAGAAGTACAAAACGAGGATTTGTAAAGAAGAGTGTCGGAGGATTTCGATATAAGCCAAGAGGAGACTGGTTTTCCTTTGCTAAAGTAAGGAAACTTTGCTTCCTTTGCTCCTGTTAACTAACGTTGGTTTTCACGAGACTCACCGGCGCATGCGCAACGCTGACCTCCATACGTCATTCCCCCGGAACTGCTTCCATTTACAATAGTGAGCGCAAGCTACATTAAAGTGATTATTATGTTTTGAATATGGATATTTTTCTTGCAAAAACGCATCTATTTGCTAGAGGAGGCCTTCATTCACCCCCCCGGCGCTTTTTATTTAACTTCTTTTGGACTGATGCGTGCAACACCCGCTGAGTGGCATTAAACAGCTTGAAAGATCAAAGACAATTTTTAATATAACTCTAACTGGATTTGTCTGAAAGAAGAAAGTCATATACACCTACGATGCATCGGGGGTGAGTAAAACACTAATTTTCATTTTTGGGTGAACTAACCCTTTAAGTCGCTTGGGTATATTTTTATCAATAGCCAAAAAAAACATTGCATGGGTAAAAATTTATGCCAAAAATCATTAGGATATTAAGTAAAAATTATGTTCCATGAAGATATTTTGTAAATTTCCTACCGTAAATATATAAAAACTTCATTTTTTTCCCAGATTTTCAAATAGTTGCATCTCAGCCAAATATTGTCCTAACCTAACAAACCATACGTCAATGGAAAACTTATTTATTCAGCTTTCATATGATGTATAAATCTCAATTTAAAAAAATTGACCCTTATGACTGGTTTTGTGGTCCAGGGTCACATTTGATTGGTGCTGAAAGTTATTCGAATGACAATGGTACGCTCTGTCTTCAATAGGAAATCTTGGTCCCCGAAGCGTCCGAATTTGCGCAGTGGGAACCTGAGGGTGTTGATACAGACTGTCCTGTGACGGCGATCATTCCCACGTGGAAGATGCTCACTACTTTGGACATGAGCCGAAACTTCATACGCTGCATTGATGAGTCGGTGGTGAGCTATGATTGTACATTATATGAAATGCATACCAGTTTATCTTTCCTTTTCTAATTTGAGCTTTTCCTGATCTTTTTGGTACAGAAACTGATTCCTGAAGTCGAATTCCTTGATCTCAGCTATAATGAATTGTCTCTAGTGGAAAACCTTCAGGTGTGTTGTCTCTAGATAATTTCGTAATATTATTTTTAAAGTGCAAAGTAGGTTTGACATTTAGAATCCAATGAATTTTCAATATTTCTTATTATGTTGACTGCAGCATTTGTACAACCTGGTTCATCTGGATCTGTCCTTCAACAAACTCACGGTGCTGGAGGGCGTTCACACTAAACTGGGGAATATCAAGACTTTGAATCTGTCTGGGAATCAGCTGGATACCCTTTCCGGCCTCAGTAAACTTTACTCGTTGGTTAACTTGGATTTAAGCAGCAACAAATTAGCACAGGTAGTTTATTACAGTGTTTGCTTAGACATTATTTTCCTGACACCAGCATAATTCTCTCTGTCTTCTGTTTTTTTTAAGATGGATGAAATTAAAAACATTGGCACTCTTCCCTGTCTGGAGAAACTGTCTCTGGCTGATAACCCCATGTGCATCATCCCAGATTACAGGACTAAAGTTCTGGCCCAGTTCTGCGACCGGGCCTCCGAGGTATTGGCCTAGAGCTTTTCATCGAGAGTTCGGTCTGTTTACTGCGCAGTTTTGCAGTATTATTACACCAAGAAGAAAAAAAGAGTGCCAAACTAAACAAATAATTACATTTATTTATGATTCATTTTTTCAGACATTTTTCGGGATTTGTTTCTAATTTATATATATAAGTATAATTCATGTTTGTCATGCAGGTGTGTTTGGATGGTACAACCACCACAGAAAAAGAGCTCGACACAGTGGAGGTGCTAAAAGCCATTCAGAAAGCAAAAGAGGCCAAAGACCGAATGGCAAACAATGAGAAAAAGGTATTTTGAAGATTTTATATTTGTTTTTATTTTTTTAAATGTAAATTAAATGGATAAAGGATCATTTTGTTCTATTATTATTATTATTATTATTAACAGCATTAGTATTATAATTATTACAATATCATAACAACATTATTACTATGAACATTTATTATTATTAATTTTTGCTATTAACATATATTATTATTTGTCTGTTTTGCTTTTGCTTAGAAGGAATTAAAGAAAAAAAATTTAAGAAAAATGATGTAAAGTCAGTTGACAATGGAAACAAATTTACGTAAAAGCCCTGCTAAATAAAACGTTATGTAAGAGGTTCTAATTCAGTCTGCTTTATCTGGCAGGTTAATGGTTTTCTGACTAATGTAATTATATTTGTGATATATTTATAGTGTTTTAAAGGAGTGTGCTGATGGCTTTCATTTAATTAATTGTGACAGTTTTTTAGGTGTGAATCGGCCTAAACCTTGACATCCAGACATGACAAATCAACAAAAAGATAATTAATTGTCTGGCTTTATATGCTCACATTGATGCATTGGTGTGTCAGCATCTATTACATAACACTAATTTTCCAGTGGAGTGAAAGACAGGAGTTGTGGCGCATCCTCCTGGCCTGACTCCTCATCGGCACTTCACATGTCTGCAGTCATGCTGTGTTAAATAAATGCGATTATGCATTAACTTAAAATGTGCATATGCTATTGTAATATTATAGTATATACCTTAAACACTGCAGTGCACTCATGACTCTGAATTACCATAATTACTATGATAGAAAAATACTCACTACATCAATAGAGCTGTTCAGTTTCGAGTCTAAGGATTTTTATTTATTTATTGTTGATTTAAATAGTTTTGAACAATTAAAATATTATTTAAATTATTTTCTTTAAATTTAATTTTAGAATCAAGAAAGCATATCAGGCAGAATCATCTATAGTAAAACGGCATGTAAAATGGTTGTAAATATAATAAAATGGCAGTGAAGCTTTGAACTGTTATTGGGGAAAAAAGTGCTAAAAGTCTGCACTTTTATTAAATTAGACAGAAAAATTTTAATTATGGTAATAACATGAATGCACCACTTTGTAAGTACTAACATCGTGTCCTAACCAGGCATGATGTTTTGATCACCAAGTAAGCATTAAATCCATAGCCAATCAGTAAATATGTGTTTTTTTTTATGGAGCAGGATTTGGACTAGTAAAATTTCAGTGTAGGTGGAAAAACTGATTAACATGGCGATTTATGGTTCGTCGTTCTGGTTTGGACATGTTGTAACATTTAAAATGAACATTAAGACGTTTATGATCCCTCACACCCTTTACATTGACCTCCAGGGGTCTTGAATTAGTCACACTGTGTGTGTGTGGCTTTGCTAATCAAGTCCAATCAGTATAATCAAACACAGCTGGACTCAAATGAAGGTGTAGGACCATCTCAAGGATGATCAGAAGAAATGGACAGCACCTGAGTTAAATATATGAGTGTCACAGCAAAGGGTCTGAATACTTAGGACCATGTGATATTTCAGTTTTTCTTTTTTAATAAATCTGCAAAAATGTCAACAATTCTGTGTTTTTCTGTCAATATGGGGTGCTCTGTGTACATTAATGAGGAAAAAAAATGAACTTAAATGATTTTAGCAAATGGCTGCAATATAACAAAGAGTGAAAAATTTAAGGGGGTCTGAATACTTTCCGTACCCACTGTATATGGGATGGGGGGGATGTAGTGTCTGACTCCAAACTTATTTTATTTTTACTTTTAACAGCAAAAGCCTTAATTCGACATGCATCCATATGTGGTTTGAAATCGAATTAAAATCAGATATATTTTTCTTCAAGCTGTTTCTTCAGTTGCTGCCAGTTGTTGTCTGTCATTCTCTGGACATCGTCCTGACATTTGAATTGTTACTATATCACCCAACATAGCATATATTGTAACACTGTATAGCAACACTGTATATATTTATAAATATATGCATGGCAACACTGTATATATTTATACAGCATATATTGCCTGAACAAACAAATCAGATCATCACCATCCATTTTCATCACCGCATCGAATTGTGCTGTGTGAACTAAACTTTAGTGACTAAAGAATGGCTTTTGCTTTCCATCTGTCTCCCTTTCAGAAATAACTACTTGTAAAGAAAAAGCTTTTATTACCAAAGAGATATTAACTCCTGTGGATTCTACACTTAGCCAGAGATGCTATGATGTTTACAGCTCAGCCTGTGATATCATTCAACAGGTTGGTTTGTATTATAGCACAGTTAATTAATTAGTAATGTAGTTTCAGCAACAAACAAGAACACAGCACTGGTCCTTTTTTTTACAGGTGAAAACTCAAATTGATTCCAGTTTGTCTTCGGAGGTCACGTTTGAAAGCAGGTTAGTTCTTATATTCTTTTGTTTTGTTTCTGCTATGCCGAAACACATTTGTATCCCATAAATGTGGTTGCAATTAGCTGTTTTTTTCTACGTTTATGTCTTAAGTAGAGTAAATGTTTGGCCTTATAACTTTTGATTGACTAAGGTAGTAATAAAAATGTAGTTACTAAAACATTTGTCCATTGATGCAACTTCCAGTCCATGAAGATTAAGTACAGGTTGTTACTAGTGTTGAAGTGCTAAAGGGATGCAGTTATGGTTTTATGTTCAAGATTCCAAAGCTAAACCAAAAACGTTTCATTCCTCTTTAGCCCCTGTTGCTGTGAAGAGGAGTGGAAACCTTGGACCGCAAATCTTTCAAATCTCTTTGTACCTCCTCCCTTACTGTCCTACGCTACCACCAACCAGGAGTTTACCAACCAGCTTTCTGCTCACCTCAGCCAGGCTAATATAGAAGAATCAACTCCAATACCTTGCAAAACCACGACTCTTGAGGGCACAGACCAAGGCAGTCCTCAATCTGGAGATGGGTACTTTGAGATGACAATAGATGACACCAACGAGATCATGGGTTGTTCCTCCTCATCTACCATTCAGGAAAATATGCCAGATGATGTGAAGAAGGAATCTGCAGTTGATAATGTAAAAATGGTGGTTTGGTCTCTTTGCATCAGTGTTGGAGAAGGTTTGAGTCAGCGGCCAACTTGTTTGGTGGCAACGGACAGTTCACTTGTGGTTTTCCACACAAGGTCAGAAGAACCAGTGAGTACTTTGGAAGAACTAATGGAGAACCTTGAGACAGACTTGGTTGTGCCGTACACCAACATTGAGACCTTTCAGTTTGATATTCCAGAGGTTTGTTTCTCCTTGAAGGTCAAGTCAAGCAATACACGATGGTTCTTTTTCTCAGGTGCCCAAAGTCTGAAGGAGATGCACTGTTGCATTGTTCCACATGTGGACCAAACTAATGAGCAAGTTTTGAACTCCTCTAACACTCAAGTGTTTATCCGACAATTTCTGAACTCTTGGGACTTTGAGGAAAGTGAGGGCAGCGTTAAAGGCGGACACTTGATCCATTTCCTTGATCTAGACTCATCTACCTCCAACAAGAACGTCGCAAACAACCCACAGTTTCCAAAGAACTCAGCTACCTTGGATGTATTGTCCCAAATCGGCCTGTTTGAAAGCGGTCAGAACCAAACCTCCAATCCCATGATTCTTTTCCTGACCTCTCGGCACCTCTGCATTCTCAAGGTAGACTTCGTTACTCTGGCGTCCCGGGACCCTTCAGAAGCAAGTGCGATGCGGAGCTGCTCCAAAGTAACCCGTATCCCACTCTCATTCACGCTTCTCGACCCAAAGCAGGACTGTTCGTGTAGGGCTGTCTCAGACTCTCGGCGTTTCTACAATGAGCATGTTGTAGAACTGATGGCAGGTCACGAACGTCTGACTGTTGTTTTTGCCCTTCCACAAGACAAGTTCACATTCCAGATAGAATTCACACAGCTTCGGTCCAATCTGAGGGAAATTAAGACCATCGCTCTCCAGCGCACCAAGAAAGGACACTCTAAAGTGCACAGTTGTCCTGCTCCTGCTACAGCCACAGAAAGAATACCTACCAGCAGGTAATGGGGCTCATTCATTACCAGTAATTTCAAAGGTATGTATAGATGCCATTTTAGCTCCAGTCCTAAGCTGTAGACTGGAATGTATCTGAAATGTTTTAGGTTCAAACCTCGCAAAGGCTGTCAGCATTTGTGCCTTTTAACAAGACACTTTCAGAAAGAATATACTGGACTACATGTAGCTACAGTAGCTTTCTACTGACAATAAATTAAATGTCCGCCAGTTGGGGTTGGGAATTGGCACCATCATATTGTTTAAATTGCAGCTATAGCTGTTAGCATGAGAATTGTCAATAAATCTTAACCAGAAGTTCATCGGACTAGACAAGAAATCCCAACTCAAAAAGTCGATTTTACGATTTTAAAATTAAGATTTTACTATATCCCTAACCAGTCTTTCAATTCACCCTTCGCTGGGAATTTGTCTAGCAGGTGATCTTACCAATCATAACGCCGAATCTTCCATGTTGTTTGACAAACAAACCAGAGAGGAGATTAGATTAACATTGGTGGACTTGAACTTGAAAAATGGTGTGTATATTGACATCTTCCCGTGATTGAAACAAGATACCTTCTGATGTTAATTCATATTTAGGGGGAAGTCGTGGCCTAATGGTTAGAGAGTCGGACTCGTAACCCAAGGTTGTGGGTTTGAGTCTCGTACCGGCAGGGATTGTAGGTGGAGGGAGTGAATGTACAGCGCTCTCTCCCACCTTCAATACCACGACTGAGGTGCCCTTGAGCAAGGCACCGAACCCCCAACTGCTCCCCGGGCACCGCAGCAAAAAATGGCTGCCACTGCTCCGGGTGTGTGTTCACGGTGTGTGTGTGTCTTTGGATGGGATAAATGCAGAGCACTAATTCCGAGTATGGGTCACCATACTTGGCCACATGTCACGTCACTTTTTTTTTAATTTTGTGCTATAACTAGTAAAGAGAAAGAGATGATCCTTTCATGTTCTGCTTAAAATAGGACGCTATAGCGATCTGTCACAACACATTAAAGAGATACAAAATGGTACTGGTATTTCAACAGTAACTAAGGGGGCGGGTCTTTGCGAATGGTCAAACCTTATCCCTAATCCTTAGTTTACAGATGAACCATCTTTACTGGATACTACCAAATACAGCAGAGAAGATAAAATGCATCTGCTAAATGACTACTCATTTTTCCTAAGACAGCATTTGTTAATTAGCACAACCTTAATGGTTCTTCTTAGCTGTTTTCACAGTAGATATACTGCACTGTTTTTTTCCCACAGTGTCCCTCAGGAGGTGCCAAGACCCCACCTGACCCTGTCTCTGCTGTATCCAGCCAAATCCCTCATTCAGCAGCTGATGGAAGACAACCAATGTCCCTCACACTTCTCGCTCTCCTCCTCATTACTCCTCATCTCGTCTCTCAAGGGAGACCAGCTCGTTCACTTCTTCCACGACAATATTGCAGAGGCAAGTCGTTTGCTCATTTTGCAGATTCTGATCCTACGAGGAAATTTCCTGGATGGTTGTGTCAACCCCTCTCTTCCTGTGTGCGCTTTTGGCTCCTGTACGTTTGTTTATTTATTTTGACTGTGTTACATTTGGCCAGCTGCCTTGTTTTCAAGATGACTATCTGAACCTCTTTCCACGCATTCCTATTCAATCAGTGTCTTGTTTTTACAGAATATCCTAGACAGAATTTATAGTGTAAACAAACACACCCTAACATTTTAAATTTGTAACATGATCAGTAACCCTCAAACCCTACAATCATTAATGCCCTACTCTTAATTCGAGGTGTTTATAGAGTATGTGGCTGTTTTCCTGGCCATGTCCTGTATTCTTCAAAACAATACATTGCATGGTTCAAGGTATCATTCATGTTCATAGCACAAAATGCATGGAAGAAACCATTCTGACACTACATTTGAGCAATTGTAATCCTTGACTAAGCAAACACTGCTAAATAAACTGCAGTATTATGCAATGAAGAGACAGAACACTTAGGGTGTTTATCTCACCGTTTGCATGCAGATGGAGAATGAGGAGCTGAAACACATTCTGTGGACGTCGGTGCTCTTCTACAGATCTCCTGATGTGGAGACGACCGCCTGTGTCCTGCTGTCCACCAAAGCCATCTACTTCGTCCTGGACGATACGGCATCCTCACTCACCAACCAATCAAGTGAGCAAAAATTTACTTTACATTTGGAGAGACAATTTTATTCTAATCTGATCTTCAGCCATATTCAGTTATGTTGTTCATTTGATATAGTACCTACTAATTTATATTTATTTACTTATGCTATTCTATATGCTGTTCTAGTCAAACAGTCTAGATGGCACATTAAAATCGATTCATTAAATTGATTGATCTTGCAGTGATGTGGACCTGGAACCCGTCTGAGCACAAGGACACTGATTTCCTCTTCTCCTTCTGCTTCACCCTAAAACTAAAAGACCTGCAGAGCGTCAATGTGGGCTTGTTCGATCAGTACTTCAGAGTCGTGGGTGAGTTTGTGTTGATCATGATCTCTTCTGGTCACATTTTCCATCCAAAATGAGTCAAAGATATACGTGATTGGATGACATATTTATTAAGCTGACACCAAATGTAATCATCAGTTTACAAGATTAGTTCACGTCCAGAATAAACATTTTCTAGATATTTTTATTCTGGGAGTGAACTAATCCTTTAAACAAAAGGACTACCAATATATAATACTGTATATACAGTGGTGGACAAAATTATTAGAACACTAGTATTTTCACTAGCTAAAAATGGTTTTAAATCAGTTATTTCTGTCTTTTGCTGTTGTGTGTCTACAGCAAAATACTAGTGTTCTAATCATTTTGGCCACCACTGTGTATAAGTGCATGCTGTTTAAAATTTTTCACAAGTCCATTTCGACATCAGAGTTTGGCTGGTTTGTTTTGTGCGAAAGCTTCATGAATTCAACTCTGCTAAGGAACTAAATAGCATTTCATATTGCTGCTTCTCTCTGTAGAAATTGTGTGAAGATCACATTTTTGGCATTTGTTCGCACCAGTTTTAACTTCTACTCTGAATTAATTGATACTGCAATGAACCTGAGATCGAAAACACTTCAAGTTTAAGTTTAACCTTTCTCTTCAAAGGGCCCTCGGCTGATCACATAATTTCCTGTCTGACACGTGACGGTTACGGCACACACCGGTTCCTGCAGCAGCTGATGATGGTTTTGACCTTGCTGGAGAAAGTTCCCTCTCCTGAACCTTCTGAGCTGGATTTCTACTCGCAGTTTGGAAACAAAAGCACAGGTTTGTCTACTTGCACTGTGAATATTCAATACATCACTCATGCTTATCTAAACATTTTGTCTGGATGTTTAGCAAACGATTTTTGATGTTAAAATATTTGTATGTCCTCATAAATCAGGTAAAATGGAGAACTACGAACTGGTCCATTCCAGCAAAGTGAAGTTCGTATATCCAAGCGAGGAAGAGATCGGAGACCTCACCTTCATCGTAGCGGAGAGGAAGACCCCTCAGGCACCGTCTCACTCCTTCAACATTCTTTTGTATGTACTGGTATTCCAGGTCCACGTCGTTCCAGGCCAGACGGCCCAGAACCAGACTGTCCTACAACCCAAGACTCTTATACTCACCAGCACGGACGTCTTCCTCCTGGATGAAGACCACATCAGCTACCCGCTACCCGAATTTGCAAAAGAGCCTCCGCAAAGAGACAAGTACCGCCTCACGGATGCCCGACGAATACGCGACCTGGACCGCGTGCTAATGGGCTACCAGACTTACCCACAAGCCCTAACGCTGGTGTTCGACGACGTCCCCGGACCGGATCTTTTGTGCCACCTTACCATGGACCATTTTGCGGAGAGTGACGGGAAGGGCGACAGGACGCAGGGGGTTGGAGGAGCCGAGGGGGAAGTGCAATGGTGTATTTTTGTACCAGGAGCGGACAGCAGAGAGCGGCTAATATCGCTCTTGGCTCGCCAGTGGGAGACATTGTGTAGCCGAGAGCTGCCAGTTGAGCTAACAGGCTGAAGTTGGGGAAAAAAATTGAGAATTTGCAGTATTCACCTACACAGTATGATGAACATTTCTTTTTACGAACGTTTTTTACAGTTTTGACACAATGCATCCTGGGAAGCTGTATTGTAGAGTCCACACGAGTGTAATATATATATATATTTTGTCTCAGGCTTCAAACTTAGCTTTTTTTGCTGCTTTTCAGACATACAGGTGCATCTCAATAAATTAGAATGTCGTGGAAAAGTTCATTTATTTCAGTAATTCAACTCAAATTGTGAAACTCGTGTATTAAATAAATTCAATGCACACAGACTGAAGTAGTTTAAGTCTTTGGTTCTTTTAATTGTGATGATTTTGGCTCGTCTGATTGGCATGTCACTATATTCTAATTTGTTGAAATAGTGAATTGGTGGGTTTTTGTTAAATGTGAGCCAAAATCATCACAATTAAAAGAACCAAAGACTTAAACTACTTCAGTCTGTGTGCACTGAATTTATTTAATACACGAGTTTCACAATTTGAGTTGAATTACTGAAATAAATGAACTTTTTCACGACATTCTAATTGATTGAGATGTACCTGTATTTATCCGCTGCTGTGTACAATCGGCCATGCATCATGAAATGTGAAACATCTGTTATACAGTTTTGTGCAGTTCAGTGGTATTTTAAGTAAATTTGTTGTTCTGTGGCAACAAAATGATTTTCAGATGGCTTTTAATGAATGGAAAAAGTTATATATATATAGTCTTTGGTTTTTTTATCTAAATGCGGCTTTAACGTGTTATTTCAATTTTAGAAAGTATTCCCGAGACTAATCTGCGTTTATTTGTACAGATATTCAAACGGAAGACCACCGAGCACATGTTTACAGAGCGTTTTTAACTTCATGAGATTACTGATTGGCTGATTATGCACGTTGAATTTTTAAAAATAAATGCGAGTAAATGTAAATTCTTTTATTAATCCTGGTTTTTTTTCTTCATTTAATGTCCAAATATTTTGTTTCATCCACAAAATGGAACAAAATGCTAAAGCAGAACATAAAAACCAAAAAAATAACCAGTCTGGAAAAACTCCAAAACAAAATCTGGAGAGAGGTATATATTCAGGCTGTGAGTACAAAAACAGTTTTTGTTTGTAAAAATAATTTCTGCTTGTATAATATCTGTTTAAATTATATTTCTTTGTTGTCCTGTCAAGAACACAAATTTGACATCCATACACACGTACATACAGTTAGGTCCATATATATTTGGACACAGGCACAATTTTTATCATTTTAGCTGCTGACCAAAACAATATGGACTTAAAGTCTCCCTAAACGCCGGATCCGTGTGGACGAAACGCCTACCCAGTCAGCAAATTTCCTTTGGTGCGGATCTGGCCCATATCAACAGCTAAAATGTGGCCCAGATTAGTTTGTGTTCGCCAACCCAAAACGGGTCCACATCTTTTTAGCCAGAACTGAACCTAAACAGTGCCATAACCCAACCCAGAGTGAGCCAAATAATAAAAACAGAAGTGGCTGATATATGGACCGTATATGGTATTCTTATATGGCTGAGTTCTGTAAAGGGCTGATGGCCCTTATGTGGCCCACATGTGGCTGATAAACCAAATGCCATTATTTAACCATATTTACACCACACCTTTTTTTTTTTTATTATTATTTAAAATACCCATTACACAGTAAATCTTAAACACAAAAATGTATTCACACTCATTTTTTAAAATGTTTATAGTAGAATTTTAATAACAGAATTACAATACAGAACATAGTTCTATTTTGCAAATGTCAGATGAGTGAATAAATGTACAAAAAATGTATACTTTTAGTAAGTCTCGTCAGTCTTTCTCACTCACAGTCTGTCAGGAAAAAGAAGAGAAAAAAGAACATTAGTATATCATAATTAGTATCATAGATATTATTTCAAGACGAGCACATAAATGAGTGTAAATCAGCACTGCACACATTATTTTCTATCACCCAAGACATGAGTGCCTTTTTAAATTAGGAACGTTTTAGCTACATTAATAACAGGCTATTTTTAGACATAATACTTAATCATATACATAATATTAATGAAAACATTAGTGTAATTGTACCTCAGTTTTCAAGTCACAGTTTCATACATTTTACAGCAGGGGGAGAAAACATACAATTGCTTTTATTTTTATTTTTATAAACTGGTTTACTGAACAATTCATGGCTCTGCCTTTAAATAAACTCAATTATAATTACAATTTTCTTAAGGATAAAGAAAATCTATTTAAGCTAATGCTATACAATAGGGAGCCCTATTAGAGCACATTGCTAAAATATTAAACGGTTGCAATTAACAACAGAGCCATATCTATTAAATTCAATTTCTATTTGTTTTTAGATACAATAACCAACACTAAAAAAACAAAAAAAAATGTATGCAAACATACAAACTGCACATTTGCACATTGCAATTTTCTAGCAACAAGCTGTGGACACTGAATGGCTTGCCTGAGGTAAAGCTAATGCTGTTTTATTGGCATTTTTCCGCGGTTGCAAAACTGATTGAGATTACATGACATGAGCGAGTTTATTTCGCGTTATAACCGGTTGTAACTAGTAGAAAAGGGAATTAAAATTATATTTGGCTCACTCTGGGTTGGGTTATAGCACTGTTTTGGTTTTGGTAAAAAGATGTGGACTAGTTTTGGGCCGGGAAATTTGCTGACTGGGTCGCTCTCCGCGCTTCCGCTTGTCTGTGGCTACATCAAAGAGCGTCAAAACGGCATTTATGGATTTAATTTCCTGATAAAATAGACATGGTTTTTTAAAAATACATTGTTTCTTTTCGAAAAGATCAAAACACAAATATACGATACAAAATGTATGCGTATATAGCTAAACGCGTCTCCGTGTGGATGGGGCCTAAAGTGTGCCATTTGCATTTGGAAGCTGTCGCTGTGAACCACATCATGCGGCCAAAGAAGCTCTCCATGCAAGTGAAACAGACTTGTTAGGCTGAAACAAATCTATGGGCGAGATAGCAGGAACATTAGGAGTGGCCAAATCAACAGTTTGGTACATTCTTGAGAAAAAAATAATGCACTGGTGAGTTTAGCAACATAAAAAGGCCTGGACGTCCACAGAGGACCCACAAACCCTTTTACAACATCCAGCCAAGAGAAGAACACTCTCCAAGAGGTAGACATGTCACTGTTAAAGTCTACAATCAAGAGAAGACCAAGCAAATACAGAGGCTTCACCACAAGGTGCAAACAAGGCCAGATTAGACTTTACCAAAAAACATCTAAAAAAAAACCCAGACCACTTCTGGAACAGCATTCTTTGGATGGCTGAAATTAAGATCAACCTGTACCGGAATGGGGTTTATTGATGATGTGACCGAGGACAGAAGAAGCCGGATGAATTCTGAAGTGTACAGGGATATACTCTGCACAGATTCAGTCAAATGGAGCAAAGTTGATTGGGCAGCACTTCATAGTACGAATGGACGATGACCCAAAACATACAGCTAAAGCAACCCAGGAGTTTTTGAAGGTAAGAAAAGTGGATTATTCTGCAATAAGTCAATCTCCTGATCTCCTGATTATTCTGCCGAGTCAATCTCCTGATTTCAACCCAATTGAGCATGCATTTCACTTGCTGAAGACAAAACTAAAGGCAGAAAGACCCACAAACAAACAACAACTTAAGTCAGCTGCAGTAAAGGCCTAGTAAAGCATCACAAAAGAGGAAACCCGGTCTCTGGTGATGTTCATGAGTTCCTGATTTAAGGCAGTCATTGCCTGCAAAGGATTATCAACAAAATATTTAAAATTACCATTTAATTTATGATTATATTTATTTGTCCAATTACATTTGAGCCCCTGGAAATGGGGGGACTTTGTATAAAAATGATTTTTTTGTATGAAAAAAGTAATTCCTAAACTTTTTTTGTTATATTTTTGTTTAACCCCTTGAATTAAAGCTTAAAATCCGCACTTCAATTTCATCTTGATTGTTTCATTTTAATTCTATTCTGGTGGCATACAGAGCCAAAATTATGAAAATTGTGTCAGTGTCCAAATATATATGGACCTAAATTTATATATATATATATATATAGAGAGAGAGAGAAAGAGAATAATTAGAATTATAAAATCAAAAGTTTAAAAAAAATTGTGAAATATAGTATTCATACCCAGATAGCATGCGGATGTGGGCCACTCAAGGCAATTATATGGCGCTGCTGACCATCTTATGGCCCATACAAAATGGATGTAAGCCTGAAGTGGCCCACATGTAAAACAGCAAAAATGGCCCAAATGTATCAAATCACATGTGGGCCTCTGTAGATAAAGATGCGATGTTCACGGCAATGTGTAATCTGAATGTGACCCTTAAGTGGCCCATGAGGTAAATAGTGAATATGGCCCAAATAGTGCCAACCAAATGTGGGCCACCTTTGGCAAAAATGTGGCACAATCGACAAGGGCTACTCAGGGTGTAAACCAAATGTGGTCCACATATGTTTCAGCAAATGTGGCCCAGGTACACTCTTAAAAAAAAAAGATGCTTCACGATGCCATAGAAGAACCTTTTTATCTAAATGGTTCCATAAAGAACCTTTAACATCTGAAGAACCTTTCTGTTTCACAAAAGGTTCTTTGTGGCGAAAGAAGGTTCTTCAGATCATAAAAAGGTAAGAAAGAGATGGTTCTTTAAAGAACCTTTAACTGAATGGTTCTTTGTGGAACCAAAAATGGTTCTTCTATGGCATCACTTGAAAGTGGCCCACAGATGATGCCACAAATGTGACCCAGTTATCCTAAACCATATCTGGGCCAATTTTGGCAAAGAAGCATTTAGGTTCAAACTTGTGAAGTATTGGAATGTGTCTTTGAATATTTAACTGTGACATTTGAATTGCTGCTTGTGCAAAACTTGGGTTGGGATGATTTTACCAAGTAAGACACATTTTTGGAACTTATTTAGGGAGGACATTTTCAAATTTCTCTTTACAATATGTTGAGTATTGTTGATGCATAACTCACTTAAGGCTTAGTGTGGCCCAGATAATGTATATTTATTTATTTGGTTCATTATTAGCTAAAATGTGGCTGTGCAGTGGCCTGCTTGTTAACCACTGCCAAAATACCACCATTCAATGCAGCATGTGGGCCATGTGAGTGTGGGGAAGACCAGGGTTAAAAT